TGTTGCTGTGGTTGCTGATGAAGTTACTTGTAACTTCACTGTGCCAGCCTCAGTGGAAGTTACTGTCACCATAGCAAAGCAAAGAGGTGGGAAAATGTCTCTGTCTCACCTGTGTTGTGGTTTAACCCCAGCTGGCAAATAAGCACCACCCAGCTGCTCACTCCCCCCCCCCCCCCGGGGGCCGGGGGGGGGGGCCGGCCCCCCCCCCCCCTCCACGTTCAGGCAGCCGCGAGCGCCGGTCGCTGGGGCAGCTTTGGGGAGGGATATGGAAGGAGGCGCTTCATGGTGCCTTGTCCCTTCCAAGCAGGGCTCCATCACGCATAACGGTGACTTGGGAAGGCAAACGCCATCACTCCGAACGTCCCCCCCTTCCTTCTTCTTCCCCCAGTTTTATATGCTGAGCATGACGTCATATGGTGTGGAATATCCCTTTGGTCAGTTGGGGTCAGCTGTCCCAGCCATGTCCCCTCCCAGGTTCTTGTGCACCCCCAGCCTACTCGCTGGTGGGGTGGGGTGAGAAGCAGGAAAGGCCCTGACTCTGTGTAAGCACTGCTCAGCAATAATGAAAACATCCCTGTGTTATCAACACTCTTTTCAGCACAAATCCAAAACATAGCCCCATACGAGCTACTATGAAGGAAATTAACTCTATCACAGCCAAAACCAGTACAACCTGATAGAGTTTAACTTGAACTGCCAGAGAAGGTGGCCGGTGCTAATGAATCCAAGCTGTGGACTGGGACAGCAAAGTCATGGGCCATTTTGTTCCATTTTGCTGACTCTGCTGCCAGTTATCTACTCCACAGGCAAGGTAACCAGCAGCTGGGTTGGCAGTGTTGCAGTCTGCTGCAGCTGTTGGCTTTCATAAAGGTTGGTCTGAGTCCCTACAAATTTTATGTCGATAATCTTAACTATTAATGATTTAATTTTCTAATCTTGTTTTTTAAAGTACCATATAGAAAAAGACTGCTTCTTTGTCCATTCTGTCTTGCTTCTTTATTTAACTTACTGTTTTCTAAATTTTTTTTCTAGACTAGTAAATGCAAAATATTTCTGAAAGGTAAAGCTCAAATTGAGATTTCTTTTTTTTTTAAATAATGAGAATTAAAAAACATGAGCTGTGTTCATGAGTCAGGGGCTACTTGGAGTATTTTTACTCTTAGAGATCTCAAAATATAAGCAAGCAAAAAATAGTATAAAATCTGTCATTGTTTTAGAGGAGCAAAAATGTAGTCAGTGTAGTTAAATGATACACATTTTTCAAAATATAGAACTGTTTTCATTAATAACATTCTCAATTTAAATAAACAGTTAAAGTTTCAGAACAGTTTAAGAAAAAGAACTTTGAATGTTTCCAATGTCAGATTTTCTTTGTGTAAGTTGATAGCGTAAAATTTCAATTTATAAACTGTGAAATGATCAGTGATAGCTTTAATATGAAAAATACAGCACTAGTTGTTAGACATTTCAGAGGTCTGATGAAAGTATTCATTTCCAGCTAGATCATGTCTAAGAATTTAGCTGAACATCAATATTTATATTTAGGTAGTGCAGGAGTTTCAATCATACCTTCTTTCAAGTTCTAAATATGGACCATGTTTACATTAGTGAATCATAAGCATAGAACTTAGAGCTGAAATAAAATCTTTTTTTCCAGAGGTGCTTAAATATACATGACCCTAATCTTGAATCATACGTGCATAGTTCCAAAGGGTTGTGTATTCGAAAACAAAGACAAAGCATAAAAAAAAATTAAGATGTCATCTGCACGTCTTGCAGTTTCTTGGGATAGGCAAAAATTAGTATCATGGAGTATGCAACTGCAGTGAATAAATCGATCGCATCTTATGTACAAAAAGAGAACATTACTACCTTTATATTGCCTTGTGCATTTACTGCACAATTATTCTGTGCAAATGTTCATGATGGGTTCCAAGTTTTATGTCTTGGCACTTGTAATTTGTTTTTAAAAAAGTCCCAACCTTTTCTATAAAAGTCTAGTCTGATAGATAGTTTTTTGGACTAAGCATACATTATATTAAATGCACAGTACAAAGAAGCTGCTGAGGAAATGTCCCTTTAGTCTGTGAATATGGTCATTTTTTCGTGTGTTGAAGACATATGGAAGTTCTCTCGAGGACAGGCTCTGATCACCTCTAGTTGAATACATTAAGTGAAATCAAAATAAAACTTTAAAAGTTTTGCTTGCAGATTAATTATAGCCCAATGTCTACACTGCTGACTATTTCAAGGGCAACTACAGTGGACAGAGAGTAGTGTGTTAGAAGAAGCAGTGATGGAAGACAAGCAGGAAAGAAATCTTAGTATGTTCAGTATACAACATAAACAAGTTTGTGATGACAGAAGCTCTTCTGGAGAAGCTCTTCTGGAAATTTAACTGAGAAAAGACACATAATTTCTGGCATTCATACTCTTACCTAAAATATGCATCTTTGCACCGAGATAAAAATAATACCAGCGTTTGGGTAAAAGATCTTATATTGAAAACTGTAGTACGTTGTGGTTTAATATGTTTTTTGGGAGGGGGAGGGAAGGGGTTGATAAGTTCCAGTTGTTGTGAGGGAAGAAAAGCATCATAAATACCAGACATGGATTTGCATTGGTTTATAATTCTTGGGCTGCATCGTCCTTTTGTGCGTGGTGTCCAGGAGGCTGATCTGGCAGTCAGAGCAGGGAAGTATCTTATTAACACTGGTGGCATAATTCAGTGTAGTAGTGGACAGAATCTGTTTTGCAAGTTTCATTGTCAAGGGTAGGTTCTCTTGAACATGTTTTAAGTTGCTACCTTTCATTCTGGAAGTGGTGCTTTAGGTTATTTTCATCTGCTTTCTCTATCTGCCTGATAGTTTTTAAACTGCAATATAGAACCTCATTAAATTGAAACAGTCCATGAATGTGCCGTAGCTTTATGTGGAAAAACGTAATTGCAGAAGACTAGTTTTAGAAGTCTCAACTGTAAGTAGCCTGAAGTAAAAGCAAACACTACTTTTGTTTTAGTATGTCTTTGATATTTCACATACATCCTTAGAGGACTGCATGTGATTGCATGGCTTTGACATATGTAGTGCTTCATAATACACATTTCCAGGAGGAACCATAATTGCTAGCCTGAGGTTTTTAGCTCAGATCTAAAGTAAAACTAATCTTTGGTGGGAGGAAGCTGGTAATTTCTGATGGTAAATAGTACAAATTCATAACTGTGTCTTGGGAAGAAAACCGGAAATAATTAGTTAGTGTGTTGAAATGTTTTTATCGATTTGTACAGTATGCATAGAAATTAGTAAAACAATAGCAAATTCTCACGAAGCAGGCATGATCTTCGTCTGTGTTTACTTTGTTGAAGACCTAACTTCAAATTTAAACTTCAGAATTTCAAGATTACCATACACTCTTTGCCTTCTGCTTTTGACATGATAGCTTGTAGCGTTGCCTGGAAATTGTTTTCTGTTGTTACAGTCTCCTCCATTCAGGAAAAAAATCCTGGAGTAGCGTAATGGAAGTGTCATGCTTTTTTAAAACATTTGCATTACCCTTGAGAACATGCAGTTTCTGGTCATTTGTGTACCCAGTCTAATATTATTGGCCTGTTATTAAGTAGCAAGTAAACTGGCATCAGGGAAATGTAGCCATTTTCTGTTCTTTATTAAGGAGTTTCTTCTTAATCACTGTTGTAATTGTTATAATAAGATTCATTATTACAGTCATTGATAAGATATCTTCTGATATCATCCATGTCAACAACGTTGATATGTTCTGCTTTATCCTAAACATCTCAAAATTTTCCAAAATGCTTTATTTTTACTGGCGGGAAGGTTATCAATTTGCAAATTAATTCTGCAATTCAGACTAGAACTTTTGTGATATTGACTCTTTGAGAAAAAATATCAGGTCAAAATGTAAAATGTTCGAGTATTTAGGAGCAACTACTTGAAAACAGAAGCAACTGAAAGCAGTAGATAGAATTATATGTATGGCTGTTGCTGTTATTCCTGCTATAATGCATATTTTTCACTACAAAACTAAAAGCATTATTTACCTTTTAAACTGGTGAAAAATGGTTATTACAAATAATGAAGAATTTTCAAAATAGAAAAGAACTTTGAGTTCTGTATCTAGACAAAGCTGTGAATTTTAGATTACAGCTGAGATTTTTTTAGAGCCTTAGGTGAATGAGCTTTCTAACTTCCTTTAGACTTTCAAGATTTTTTAATTTCTGCAAATTCTTAAATTATTTTATTTTTAAGATTGAACCTTTTGTCAGGCTTTGTTAGGCTTTTCTTTGAAAAATCTCTTGTTCAAGCTATGTGTGAACAGCAGAAGCAATAGAGAGAGAAAGGAGGCAAGACATGCGAGGTGGTTGATAAGCACCTGCCCGAACCAAATTGTTTCAGCCATAAGTTCCTCAATCTCAATCATGAATTCCACAATAAATTAAAAATTCCTAAGATAAATTGGAGCTCATATGAAAGGGAGCTAGTATGAAAGGCATCCAGTAACCAGGTAAGCTTCCAGAGCCCCTCTGAAGAGAATGGTTGGGCAACAGCTTAATGTCATGGGTCTCATGCTTGAACAGAAGTACTGGAAGATGCTTATTTCGCTTATTTGTTTCATAGGACTGCTTACTGTATCAAAGAAACTTTTTATCTGGGACAAGTAGAATGATGTTCTTATTTCAGGAGACCTGGGTTTTCTCCTGATCATAATTCTTGTTATTTCAAGCTAGCTAATATGCAAAGTACTCGATATTTCCATGTGTATGAAGACACCGGTATCCCCAATTTACTAGATGCATACATTGCGTATATGAAAACGTATACTTTACGGAGTTCTTTCACCAGTTTGACGTGTTAAAATTGTATACAAGAAGTATATTCAATCTACATGCGTCACGCTAGTAGATTTAGGCTATAAATAATATCCTCTACTTTGTCATAAAGTTTTCAGATGCAAAATAATATACTGACTATTAATGTTTCCAGGCTTTGCTCTCTGTACATGATACTGTTGCTCAGAAGAACTACGATCCTGTCTTGCCCCCCATGCCTGATGATATTGATGAGGAAGAAGATTCAGTCAAAATAATCAGACTCGTCAAAAACAGGGAACCATTGGTAAGTAACCCTGTCTTCTGTTTTGGGTTTTTATGTTTGTGCGTAGGGTGGGGAGTGTTCAGATTATGAATATGAATGGGTGACATTAACTTGAAATGTGGATAGACGGACATTATGCATGTTTATTCGTAACGTTCAATAATACACTTGTGACTTCCACTTGCAGTCGTTATTAGTAAAGCACATGAAATGAATAGTAAGAATTTGTTCATTCATGGTGTTTGAGCATTATATATGTGGGCCAGTCTGACCATTTAGATCAATAACATTCATCTTTTATCTTGAATTCAAATCATGAACTTGTTTTAAAATGAGAGAGGGAGAATGAATCCCCAAAGAAATCTTGACCTTTATTGTGAACTGTGCCTGTTAGCATTCATGTAAAAAATGTGACCTCTCAATACACTGAAAAGAAAGCATAAAAACATATTTTAAAATACTTGAATTGAAATCTGGGCAAATTTAAGATGTCTGTTGTTGTACTTTGGATTATGAATACTAGAAAGTTAATATCTTCATGGGGATATCTGGAAAAATGAAAGGACTAAACCTAGGTTGTATTACAAGAATATTAAAATGCTTTACTGATTTGGTTATTTTTATTTGCTGTAGAGTGGGAGTCATCTTGTATAAAATTTAACTATATTCTTTTTCTCCTGCAAACCAGTAAGAGCTTTGTTTTATGTTGTACTGGATATTTGTTTTAATGGATAGCAATCCTGAAGAAATATCTGCAAAGTTACTTTAAGAAAGCCGTGCTTCTGTACTTGAGATTACAGAGGGAGAACGATGCCTCTGTTAGACGTACAGGGGCAGCTTGTCCCACAGAAGATACCTTACTGTCACTCTTATTCTTGATGGATTTCTGGCATCAATAAACAAGAAATAAGTTTTGTATTGACTGCCTGTAGGTGCCCATGGGCATAATTAAAAGTTTGACCATCTGGAAAGCTTTTACTTTGTTTTAACATATTTAAAATTTTTTTCCCCAAATATTTAAATCACAGCTTTAAGCTTTCCTTTTTTTATCAAAGAAATTCTTTGAGGAAGAAAACAAACTTGCTTTAGGATGTAGTATCAGAAAGAGTATTAATTCTGAAAGGTGTGAAGAAATTTGAACATATAGTATGAGATGAGTTCTAATTGAGCAGCTTATTTTTATTGTTAATGAAAACACCCTTACTGTTGTGTTTTCTTGAATTTGTCAGAAAAATCGCAATCTTTATTTACATAGTTTCATGTTTCAAACATGATTTGCTACTAAGACTTTTGTGAGTTAAATACTATAAGTTAATAGTATCTCAAAGTGAACTGGATAAATAGCAACTTTGAAAACAAAACTGAGAGATTTTTCTAAAAACTTACAAGATATATACACTGTATATTGGCTTTTGAGATTTTAGGCCCTCTTAAAGGGTCAAATAGAGTTGCCTAACCCAAAGGTTATCCTTGGGCTGTTCCTCAGATTCCACTCTTGCCCATTCACGCCAGCGGGATACTAAGCTCTTCCAGGGGCCTGCCTGTCGTGGTTTAACCTCGGTAGGCAGCTCAACCCCACCCAGCTGCTTGCTCACTGTCCCCAGTGGGATGTGGGAGAGAATCGGAAGGATAAAAGTGAGAAAACTCGTGGGTTGAGATAAAGACGGTTTAATAGGTAAAGCAAAAGCTGCAGGCAAGCAAAGCAAAATGAGGAATTCATTCGCTACTTCCCATTGGCCGGCAGGTGTTTAGCCATCCCCAGGAAAGCAGGGCTCCATCATGCTTCATCATGGTGACTTGGGAAGACAACACGCCACAACTCCAAGTGTCCCCACTCTTCTCCTCCTTCCCCCAGCTTTTATTGCTGAGCATGACGTCATATGGTGTGGAATATCCCTTTGGTCCGTTGGGGTCAGCTGTCCCAGCCATGTCCCCTCCCAGGTTCTTGTGCACCCCCAGCCTACTCGCTGGTGGGGTGGTGTGAGAAGCAGAAAAGGCCTTGACTCTGTGTAAGCACTGCTCAGCAGTAATGAAAACATCCCTGTATTATCAACACTCTTTTCAGCACAAATCCAAAACATAGCCCCATACGAGCTACTATGAAGGAAATTAACTCTATCACAGCCAAAACCAGTACAATCTCTCAAAAGGTCCAGCCAGCTTAGTACAACTGTTGTGCTAAGGAGGTTAAGAAATAAGTTTTTTTTATTATAACTTTCTTTCCTAGACAGAACGCAGCCATGGAACATACAAAAAAAAAAGTGAGATAACTCAGTCTTCAGTTTGTCAAGACTGTTTAGTGTAATTACCAAGGCGAAAAGAGTATTATAATGGAATCTGTGATAGACTTATTACTAGGAAGAGGCAAAGGGCGGGAGCTAATTTGCAGCCTACAACTACTTGAGAGTGGAGAGCTCACAAGGACAGTAGAGTCAAACTCTTCTCAGCAGTGAAAGATGCTAAAACACAGAGCAGTGGTCACAAGTTGCAGCCCTGGGAGGTTTAGTCTGATAATTAACAAAAGCATTTCATTCAGTGGGAAGTACAGCACTGGAGCAGACTGGCCAGAGATGTGCAATTTCCAACCTATTCCACAGGGCAATGGGTGACCTGATCTGGCATTGACAGTAGTCCTGCTCTGAGCAGGAGATTGGCATAAATGACTTCTAAAAGCTGCCCTTCAACCAATATTTCAAAGATTATAGGTTATCTGTAGGGGAAAGGACTACTTGTGGTCTCTCCAAATTCCCAGCCTTTCTTGATGTTTTATTTTTGTTGGAGAAGAGCTTATGGTGAGTTCTGTTTTGCATGTTAATTGTTCTCCAGGAAAACTTCAAAGAATAGTGTATAGTGTCGTCCTCCTCTTCCATAACCCACCTTCAATCCATTTTAACATTGCTAATGTCAAACATTCTTTGTGGCAGACTGATAGTCAATTATTCTTATGACACCACCACCACGATACATAACAAACCTATTGTTTGTGTCTTTGTCTCCCCCAGATTAATTTTTTTTCTTAGGTAGGGGTGAGAAAAACACGGATATTAATTCAGATAAGGTCTTACCAGAATATGGCATGGCAGAATAAATAAAGGCAGGTTTATGCTAGGTATATTAGATCTACTGCATCTATGCTTCCTGAAGTTGTTTTACTGAAGAAAGGATATGCCATGATCTATGTTTACTAAACTATTTCAAATTTCATTTTCTATTTATTTCCATGTCTTTTTAATGGTTTTTCCTTCAGAGCTTGTTCTAAAGTCTTGGATATTCTTAGCTGAGTACAGATGAAAGAGTCTCTACTTATTCAGTTTATCTATTTACTATTCTCCAGTCATAAAGTCTGACTTCCACTTGCATAGTTGTATCAGGATTCTTGCTACTGAACTTGAGATTGGAGGTACCATACAATATTTTTTCTGGGATGGAGATTGTCTGGTTTTTTTACTTGAAGATACTGAGCTCTCTGAACTTTTCTTTCACCTCAGGTACATTCTCATTCTCTATTTGTATGCAAACAGTAGAGAATATTTTTCTGCAAAATAGTAAGCTTTACATCAGCTGCACACCCTGGAAGTTCTGGAATTGGATATCTCCTTTGGATGACTTTCAACGGTACTCTCTGTGAAGAAAATTAGGCACTCTCTTAACTTCTTTGGAATATACAGTTGGACTCGATGATCTTACAGTTGGACTTAATGATCTTAAAGGTCTTTTCCAACCTAAATGATTCTATGATTCTATTCTATATCTAGTGACCATTTTTATATAAAACTGCACCACATTTGCTCTTGTACTTGTTCGTGCTTTTCTCTGAGTTAAGCACCTCACCAGTGTTCTGAGCCAGTGTTAATCACATATTAACGAAGCCTGAGTTCCCTGGAGTAATCATCTCAAAAAAGAGGGAAATACATGGTTTGTGGGAGGGCCTTCTGTTTGCCAGATTTCATCAGTTCAGAAGTCAGTGCTGAACTTTCCTCCGGTTTTTTGGAAGAGATGATTTAAACTTTTTGTTAATCCTTCCACAGTTGTGTGGTTGTTTTTTTTTTTCTCCTAAATGCTCTATTAGCAAATGCCATTCTAGTAGTGACTCGCTCAAGCAAGGTGAAATTGTGTTAGGAGGTTTTATCTGAACAAATTTAGAACATCTCGAACCTTACGTAAAGAGAAGTAGAAACATCTCTTTTTCAGAGATAGTCGAAAATTCACTTGGCTATATTAGGCTTTTTGTCAGATAGCTTGGAGGGTTTTTACTTATGCCTACCTCTCCAGGGCTTTTTCAGCCACTGCCACGTTCCTGGTTAGCGTTCCTGATATCCGAGGTGTACAACCACACTGCCAGGAGTTCAGTTCCTGGCTCGCACTACTTCCAGCTCCCAAATGATATTCCAGGTTTGTTACAGCTGTCATGCAGTTATTCTGAATAGGATGCTTCTTCATGTTAAGATGGTTGCTTCTTTGTCACACAGATTCATTTCACATAAATTTAGCCATTTGAAAACTAATCTCTGCGCTGTGTCTGTAGTCAAGAGAAAAAAAGGCAGCTCCAGAGAATGAACCATGCAATCTATTTAAGATGCCTGCCTTAATGAAAGGATGATTCATTCTCCGGAGCTGCCTGTTTCTTTTCATTAACTACAGGAGGAGCCTAGACACCTAGCTTGAACTAGATACCTGATTTTCATAGCTGAACTTGGGTGAAATGAATTGTGATGATTTAGGAGTCGTTTACATGTTCTGCCGATGCAAATTCTACAGCTCTTGCTTGCCTCTCACTCTGAGTCCCCGTAGCTCGGTTCCTATAGTGAATGAACCCAACTATTTTATAGGTGGGATTAATTTGGGTGTAGGGACAGCTTTAGTGTGCATAGTCTACACGTATGTGGGTATCAACTTTTAAATAACTCTTCACTATAAGGTAGGTAACTGGTATTTGTATTTGCATTTTCAATAGAGAATGAATTAAAATAAGGCTTATTGAAGTACTTATTTGCATTCAATGTCTGCATGTGCTTTTGTTTAACAGAAAGGTATGCAAAAATATTACTGATGTTTCAAACTCTCTTATTAGTAATTTATTTTACAGGCTAGTCTGTCTTTCTTTAAAAATAAAGGCTTATAATGTTTATATTCTGGAACCAGCAGATAAATGGATGAACTAATAAAGATCACATCTGTGAAACCCTGAGTAATGCTCACCAATCAGTGTTACTACATTAAAACTGAAAAAAAAACCCAGCCCAAAAAACAGTGAAAGAGCCTTGCTGAAGGAGCTTGTATTATTTTTAGTGCTTTTGCATGGTACACCTTTAAACATTTTCTCAGTCTGATCACCATATGGCTCCCAAACTCCTTATTTTTCCCTTTAAAAGTATTTTAAACTGAGCTATGCTATTACATCTGTATATGTCTCATTTAGGGTAACTTACACTTTTGGCTAGCAACACTGAAAATATTTTCCAGCTCTCAAGGTCCAGTCTAACCTTCTTCCATTTTTAAAGCTCTAAATGAGGAGCTGCCCTGCACATGTAACTGAAAGTACTGGAGCTGAACATCTCATAAGGAGAAATTCTTGCCAGATTATATATACCTCATAGTTTAAGCAGGGCTGGCAGCAGTACAAGAGAAGCTTCTTTTTCAGAAAATCAACTCTTTGGGTTTTCAAAAAGAAATTTGCTTGTGTTTGATGATTTGTTTTTAAGTATTCTAAATTGGGAGGGAAGGGAAACTTAAGGAACCCCCTTTTTTTCTTTGTGTACTATAGGTACAGCAAAACCACATAAACTCAAATAGTGCTTTTCGTGGGTCTGCCCATTCACTTTGAGTTTGCCATAAAGGAGTTAGACAGTGAGCTAACTTGGGTTAAATAATTTCCCTGTGAATTCCAACTTGATTTCTTGCTGATAATTCCAAATTACCTGTTATCTTCACGGAGGCATCTTTCAAATTGGCTAATCTGCACTAGGAATTCATTTTGTGCCAGCACATTGGTAGCGATAATCACATAAAGCATGAAGTGACCGTTCCACTTGGACAAGAGCCTTACCGTTACTTCCAGATGCTGGCTGGGTCAATACTGTGGTCTTCAGTCCCACACAAGTTTTTTCTACGGTCTGTCTAAAAACAAGGTGAAGTGAAGTACCCGTTTTCAGGCATAAGCGTTAGGGCCTGGGGTAGCTGGGTGATCACAGTGGAAGGCTGTCAGTCATCGCTTGCCTTTTGCATTCGGTAGCATTTAATAGTGTTGACTTCTAGGTAAAAGGCATAAAGCCTTTCCATTCAAGGCTTTTTCCCTGATTAATTAGGAGAGGCTCTGTTTTATGTGGACAATATAGTGGAAATGTCCTGTATTTATATTTGGCTCTAACATCCTAACACTGCTTTTTTCTTTTTTTCTGAATATATCCATCAAAAAGATGCTTTGTACTTTTAAACAGATGTAACTTTCCAGGTATTAATAATAAACTTCAAATTAATAGCTGTTGCTGCAAGGTCAGAACTTAATATTGAGATATAGGCTAGAGGGGTTAATGCTTTGTTTAATATTCCTAATGATGCACAATTCTTTTTGCACAGAAGTCTAATCATGAGTTTTTAAAATGAGATTAGCTGCAGCTAAATCTTTATCTTTTTGAAACTCTGACTCATTTGAAACTGTAATACCAAGAAATGCTTACCGATATAATTACGTTATAAACAACGCATAAGAATAAGGCTGGCAAGTTGCAGAATTACTTTGCTTATGGATAGAATGTCATACTAATAAATATAAGATGTAAAATAAAACGCACAAACACAGCACATCAATTTTGCTGTGGAGTGCTGGCTACTGTTAAAGTTTCAGCCAAAGAGAATATTGTGTGGTGACTGGTTTAATTTTTCTCTATTTGCAATAAATGCAGCTTGCATATAGTAAAATATAAATTAATCTCCCTTTTTTTGTCCTGTGCTGTATTTCCATCTTAGAGGCAGAGGGAAAGGGAAACAAGTTTATTTACAGTCGGTAAAATTGTTAACTGTAGTAAAATGTCACCCCCATTATTTACTTGTACATATTTCAGCTTCACATCCATGGAACACTTAAAAATTGAAGTAGTGATGAACATGATGTTCATCTGTAATCTAAACAAATATAGAAAGCTAGCTGTAAAAGCCATTTAATTATTCAAGGAACTTTATAAAATACTTCTGTACCTTACTTCAAGCGCAACACTTATCTGATGGAAGGAAATTGTAACCACTGTCTTGTACTCAGCAGTGAAGTAATACTGTTCATTCACTAATCAAAAATGTGGACACTTTCAGAAAATTTACTTACCTGCCAGAGTCCTAAACATCTCTGTTGATTAACAAAGTTAGAGTTATCGCAGGTAACTAACTACATTGGCATGGCAAAGTAATCATGTGTGGATAAAAAGCTGTTGGCCAGGAGTTACTTTATTTGTGGTGGTTTTTAAAAATACTGGATCAAATAACCTTTTTGGAGGTGATTACACAGTACGACTTATCTAGCTAAAATCCCCCTCGTTATTCTGTGGATTCTGCCTTCCAGAGCAGGGCCAGCATTTCCCCCCTCACTGCTTCCCATCTGCCTGAAAGGACTGGCACTGCAGCTTAGGCAGCGGCTGCGTGCCTCCGCTTCCCTTCCCTTCTCACTTGTCACTGCTGCTGCCTGCTGCTTCCCCATCACCTTGTGCCTCTTTTCAGCGCACCCTCGCAGTTCTAGTTACAGAGGCATTTTTCTCATCTAGACAGCTGTTCGCTGGAAATCTAACTACATGATGTCATTTTACCTAAACGCCTTGCACTGTTTGTGTAATGTATGAAAACAGTCATGACTAACTCAGGAAATGTTCCCCTCCTCTGCATTTCTGTCCCGCGGGTATTCCAGGTGAGCTCTGACGTGCAGGGGCATTTCTCATTCATGTTTGTTTATTGCTAACAATGTAAAGCAAAACTATGATTAGTGGGTACACAGGCAGTTCTGAGCACAAAGTGCAACTATTACAAACGTGGATAAACTTTTTGTACCCATAGTATGTAACTTGGCCTGTTTTAATGCGGGAAAAACAATTATCAATTCTTAGTTTAGTATGGTTTTAGCAACAGACTCAAGTAAGGTATGCTGCAGTTAACATTAAGTCAAAAAGTAAACTTCTTGTATCATTTGTCCAAACTGCATGAGTCAGTTCCGAACGGAGAAGTCACATTTTAATAGGATGGTAATAGAGCAACGTAGTTTGTATATTCTTTTCATGAGCAAGTATCATGTCTGGCGTATTCACACATTGATCCGATGTCAACTTTTTGCAGTTTTACATAGCAAATATTTTTTTAGTGTAGTGAATTAAAATTATGGTAAGATTAACCAAATAACTTTTTTTTTTTTTAAAGGGGGCTACTATTAAAAGGGATGAACATACTGGTGCAATTGTGGTGGCCAGGATAATGCGTGGAGGAGCTGCAGATAGAAGTGGTAATGTCTTGCTGTTTTCCACTAGCCATTCAAGTTCTATAACTTAGAAAAAGATGAGATAAAATGGGAGCATTTTGTACACACAAAATACATCACTATCATGAGCAAAAGTATTTGTGGTTTGGACAGCTTTCCAAAGTGATATTTCAATACTGGTGAAAGCATTGTGTGCCCAGGTGGCCAAGAAGGCCAATGGCATCCTGGCCTGTATCAGAAATAGCGTGGCCAGCAGGAGTAGGGAAGTGATCGTGCCCCTGTACTCGGCGCTGGTGCGGCCGCACCTCGAATACTGTGTTCAGTTTTGGGCCCCTCACTACAAGAAGGACGTCGAGGTGCTGGAGCATGTCCAGAGAAGGGCAATGAGGCTGGTGAGGGGGCTGGAGCACAAGTCTTATGAGGAGCGGCTGAGGGAACTGGGGTTGTTTAGCCTGGAGAATGGGAGGCTGAGGGGAGACCTCATTGCTCTCTACAACTACCTGAAAGGAGGCTGTAGCGAGGTGGGTGTCGGTCTCTTCTCCCAAGTAACTGGCGATAGGACGAGAGGAAATGGCCTCAAGTTGCACCAGGGGAGGTTTAGATTGGACATGAGGAAAAATGTCTTTACTGAAAGAGTGGTTAAACATTGGAAGAGGCTGCCCAGGGAAGTGGTTGAGTCACCATCCCTGGAGGTATTTAAAAGACGTGTAGATGAGGTGCTTAGGGACATGGTTTAGTGGGCATGGTGGTGTTGGGTTGACGGTTGGACTCGATGATCTTAGAGGTCTTTTGCAACCTTAATGATTCTATGATTCATGCTGAATTTTTTTCCCCAATTCACTTGCAACCAGGTATTTTTGAGTTAGCAGATACAGGGTTTTTTTAAGATGTATCATGGTTTGTTTCCAATTGAAGACATCCACTTAGAAATTATAGGATGTGCCAAGATTACAAACTGCTGATGGAGGAACTCAGGATGGCTGAATTATTTTATATTAGTACATCCATTTGGAGTTTCAGCTGGTAATTCTCAAAATACCAGCACATCCTTGACTGCCATTGTTTCATTTGGGATGCTGAAAGTCTGAAAGAACTCACGCAAGAGGTTCTGAGTTACATTCTAAAGGGCCTCTTTTCATTGAAGAGAATCTAGGACAGCTGTGTCTCACACTTGGCTGGGGTAATGGAGTAAATCTAGATATATATTGTTAAATTAGGAAGCATTTGTGCCACAAATTAGCACTCATGGCCTAAGTGATCTTTGCAGTGCTTGCAACTGTGTAGCAATAAGAAAGCAGTATGAGTAGAAAAAGAATTGGCACAGACATTTTTCAAACATCTGCATAGAAGTCTGGAAGAGTCATAGAGAAACGGTACTAATTTTCAGGAGGAAGGAAGGGAGGTGAGTAAACCAACCATCTCAAACTTACCTGTGAGGACAGTAGCTATTGTTGTGTTCACCATATATTCCTGCTTTTAAGTTAGAGCTTAAAGTGGATGAACAAGGGAGAAAAAAGCTGAATGTTAATGGCATTTTTTGTATAATACGTAGCTACTGTTTAACAACTCCTCTTTGCCTTCTGTAGGTCTTATTCATGTTGGTGATGAACTGAGGGAAGTCAATGGGATTCCCGTAGATGATAAAAAACCTGAAGAAATAATACACATTTTGGTAAATACCAAACATTTTAAAATTAATTTAGGGGAGTCAAGAAAAAGTAATTAGACTTATAATACAGGTGTATTTCTCAGAAAAAAGTATATTCTACAATAATGCCTTTTCTCCCAGTGCTATCATTTACAAACCCCTATTTCCTTTCTCTTAAAGAATGATTTTCCACGCATTACATATATATGCAGTTACAAATTACTTGTACGAGTTAATGACGGTAATATGGCTATAAATATGTTGCAGAATGTTGCAGACCTCAGCGTAATATTGATTGTTTTTAAGGCACACCATGATCTGTTGAATTCAAACTATTTTATATGTAGTCATTAATAACGCATTAACTCCATGTGAAAATTAATTCATAATACAAGTACTTGATAGAATAAACTAACTGGTGTATTAAAATTATATTGATTTGCAGTATATAGCGATATATACGATTATGTTTGCACTCCTCTGAACCACACAATCTCTACAGCCAGCCTAATTATTCACTTATGGAACACTATTGCAAATGAAGTAATTTAGACTTTTTCAGAAATATTTAATATTTTTACAGCAAAGAAAATCAATGAGAGTCATGACAGCTCTTTATAGTCATGGTGTAGGCATTTCTGTATACATAAATACCTTGCTG